CATAGGGATTATTCATCAGGTATGTATTTCCCCTGTTTCCTTTTTCAGCCGGAAAACCTATATTGGTATGCGTCTGTGAGTGGCTAATCGAATTTGCCTTTCCTGTAAATAACGTATTTTCAGACTCATTTGTTGTAACTACTGTATATGAATCCATTGTCTAAAAATAACCTTGATATCATACGCATCAAGTTGTGTAAAAATAATAGAACAAAATTGGAGAATGGGAATTATTTACAGATATAGATACACATGAAACTTCTTTATACACATGTTCTCAAAAGGTTTTTAAACTTCTTAAAAAAAAAACTCAAAACATGTTACACTAACTAAAAGCACACATTATAAAAAAATTTGCAAAAAGTTTCTCAAAAATCTAACATTATCTAACACACATTTCTTTATTAAATTACTTATTTGTTTTAAGTTACTTCATAGTAAAAATTACATTACGAATTTTTCAAATAATTACTTTTTCTTATTAATAACCACTAAACGAATTAAACACAACAATAATTGTTCCTTTTCTTTTTGTAGCAATGTAAGAAAAATACTTTTTCATTAAAATTTTGTTAACATTTTTTTTTTGTTCTATATTCAAATAAATACTAAGGCCGGAGTTACCCAATTCCTTAATTCTTAATATTTGTCCTTAATTCTTAATTCTTAAAAAGTTCAATTTATTTAACATTGGGGTTTTTAACGATTGAGAAATAAGAACCAAAATTAGGAATTAAGGAATTGGATAACCCCGGCCTAACTTTGACTTCAAGCTTGTTTCATGAAAACGGAAAAAAATTTCGAAACTAAGAAATTAACAAATTCACACGGCCTTTATGTTTTGATATTATTGAATATAGAACCAGATCAGACTCTATCCTTAATAGTTTTTTTTTTAATATCTAATTTTTAAATATTTTTAAATTTAAAATATTCATCATTATTTTATAACAATATTTTTTAATATATTTATTAACATTTAAAGGTATCACAAAAAATATTTCTCTCTCTCTTTCTCTCTATTTGCAGTTTCCGTTTGATCAGAGATGATTTTTCTTATCAAGTTGTTTCAATTTTCTTATTTTACGAAGGAAGGAAAAAATGATACTTTAAATGATGTCTTAAAAAGTAATAAAGAGGTGGTTGGTGTGCGCGATTTTTTACATTGCAAATGATAAATGGAAATTTGGAAATTTTAAGCTGCAAAATCTAAAATAAATACTGATTCGATAAGAAGACTTTGGGTAAATTATTTAAAAAATATAATTCATTTAGTTTTGTGCGGTTGTAGGTATTGATATTATGTTTTCGAAATTTGAGTGATAATTTCAGCTTTTAAAAAAATTACTAGCTATACAAGGCATGAATATCCAAGATCCTTTGATGATAAGTATAAATCCTCGTTAAATCCACTTTAATCTCATAAATCATTTCATGCTATGCCTTGTATACCTACATTTGATTTCCTTGATAGTCAGTTATTTTGTACAAGTCTGTGCTGCCTTATTTCGCAAGGAATTTATTGAATAATGAATTTGATTTGAATGAGTGCATATTAAATAACCTCAGATTAGTTTGGTATTAAGACAATTTAAAAATTGGGAAATTTCACCACGTCAACGTTCCGTATTTTCTTAAATGCGTCATCAGGATTAAACACATAAAAGATAAAGAAAATTCTCTGTGAAGCCGAAATGAATGTTTTCAGTAAAAAAATTCAAGAGCTAAGAGACTAATTATTTGTTCGTCCTTTTCTGCCTAAACCTATTAAGTGCACTGAGAATTTCATACATCTGTCAAAACTGGTATTCCAACAATAAATTGACATGTTTTGATTGTTGATTTGAACCAATTAGATTGTAATTACGCGATAATTTGCACTAGTGCAAATTATCAGATAATTGCATACTAACTGGTGCGAAAACTGGTGTTTTGACATTTTTTGACAAAAAATTTAAATTTTTGATTTATGAAATTCTCTCATTAAATACAATTCGTGCAATGGAAATATATTTATAATTTTCGACAAATTTGCACTCATGCGTTTTTAACTGAAAATGCATTCGGGCAAATTTCCCAAAAATTATCAATAATTTCCATTGCACTAGTTATATTACTATTGAAAATTATATTTTTCCGGATTCCATTTCATAACAGCAATTCCAGAAGGTTCGATTAAGTCCAGACCCGTTCCTCAGGTCTTCTTCGAGATTCCTCTCTTTCTTTGTCTATGCCCACTCTCTTCACATTCTCCTACCAGTCCTACCCCTATACCCCTAAGTCCATTTCGGTAGCTTTTAGGGATTTTTCTATTCTGTTCTGTCTTTAACTGGCCCTACTTCGGAACTATAAGACATAGTATCGTGAGGCCTGTAAGGGGGGCTTAAGGTTGTTTCTCGTCTGACTTTTTGCAATCAAATAATTCACAAATATTCATGTTTTTTCATTGCCGCGATATTCTCGATTCTCAAAGGCTTAAAACGTAATCCTTAAATGATAATGATATTTTTGGAAGTTTTATCGTCTGTTATATAATTTACAGTGTGTTCAATTTTAATGGCATGCAGACGTTTCAATTAAAATTGATGGAAATTTTTGTTTGCCTCGACTAGAATTTGAACCCAGGACCCTCGCATATCCAGTGCAACGCTCTACCAACTGAGCTACCGGAACCTGTTTCATTTCTACCTTGTCGATCAAGTCTTTCATCAATTTTAAGTTGTTAGTTGTGAAGACCAAGCGCAACCTTCGGCGGTTAACGTTGGTCTGGGAGTGAGGTAGAGGGTATTAGGGGTTCGCATTCACAATTAATGGTTGTTTGGAATTCATTATCTTTTCAATCACGGATGCGTCGTCGACATATAGCGACATCAGCAAGCATCGGGATGGGATGCCCAACCATCAATAGCAAGCCAATAATTTTACAATTTTTAGAAGTTTTATCGTCTGTTACATAATTTACCTACGAGCGTGCGGTAAAGTGAACTTTACCGCACGTATTTGCAAATGGAAAGTATCACTTTACCGCACACTATGCGGTAAAGTGCACTTTACCGCATAGTGTGCGGTAAAGTTAACTTTACAGCATAGTATGCGGTAAAGTAGAATCAAAGTGTGCGGTAAAATGCACTTTACCGCATAGTGTGCGGTAAAGTAGAATTTGATATTTATAATCAAAAATCCTCTTTTTTTCAAAAAATGGATTTTTGATCATTTCTAAATCTTATCTAATTTCATTAATTAATCTGATTCATTAATTAATTTTATAAATGCCTTTTTTTGGAAATGCAGATGCTCATAGGTAAAATTTTGTACCTAACACATGCGGAAAGTGCCTTTACCGCCCTTAACGGCTTGACCGAACTCCGCTTCGCGTCGTTCGGTCAACTGCCGTTGCGTGCGGTAAAGTATCACTTTCCGTATTTGTTAGGTAAATAACTATTACAGTGTGTTCAATTTTAATGGAATGTAGACGTTTCAATTAAAATTGATGAAACTTTTTTTCACCTCGACTAGGATTTGAACCCAGGACCCTCACATATGCAGTGCAACGCTCTACCATCTGAGCTAGCGATACCTGTTTTATTTCTACGTGCCGAAGGTTGCCGTCGGTCTTCACAACTAACGACTCAAAATTGATGAAAGATTTGATCGAGAATGTAGAAATGAAACAGGTCTTGGTAGCTCAGTTGGTAGAGCGTTGCACTGGATATGCGAGGGTCCTGGGTTCAAATCCTAGTCGAGGCAAGACAATTTTTCATCAATTTTAATTGAAACGTCTGCATGCCATTAAAATTGAACACATTGAAAATTATATAACAGACGATAAAAAAAAATGTAAGAATATTGGCTTAATATTGATGGTTGGCGTCCCATCCCGATGCCTGCTCATGTCACTATATGTCGACGACGCATCTGTGGTTGAAGGGATAATGGATTCCAAACAACCATTAATTGTGAATGTGTTCTCCTTATACCTTCTAACTCACTCCCATACCAACGGTTACCGCCGAAGGTTGCCGTTGGTCTTCACCACTAACAACTTAAAATTGATGAAAGACATGATCGACAAGGTAGAAATGAAACAGGTCTCGGTAGCTCAGTTAGTAGAGCGTTGCACTGGATATGAGAGGGTCCTGGGTTCAAATCCTAGTCGAGGCAAGACAATTTTTCATCAATTTTAATCGAAACGTCTGCATGCCAATAAAATTGAACACACTGTAAGTTAATGATATTATTGACTATTCTGTTATTGATGAGATTATCAACCTGTGAATCTGTGATAAACAATATAATTTCAAAGTCAAGTCATGGAATGGCTGAAATATTCTCGCGGTAAAACTTTGCTATGTTGCCATAAGTTGTGTTCAATTATCATCATTCTCAAACTCTATGTGTCTACTGCTGGACTGTGGTCTCTCGCAAATGGCGTCTTACATCATATACCTCTTGTCGGTGGTCAAGGATTTTTCTGCTCCATGGGACGTCAGATGTTCTGCCAACATGTCTTGCCCAGTGATTATCCTTCTGGATAGCATCCGCGACACCAGTTATTCTTCTTATTTCTGAATTTAAAATTATCTCTGTCAAAGATAGTCCCAACATACTTCGTTTCATAGCTAGTTGGCGACTCTCCGATCTTATTTATCATCTATTTAGTAAGAGTTAGCGTCTCCGTACCGTAAATCAAGACAGATAAGACATAGTCATCAAAGACTTTTTGCAAGCATATTGGTATTTCCGATCTACATATTTGATGGTCTAGAGTCACACGAATTTCGAGTCGTAGATATCCTCGGAATGGTGGAGAGATCGAGCAAGTATCATTCTTTACCCGGGCCGATCCTCGGGCCAGGGAGTAGAGCTCCCCGATAGAACGAATATTTTGTCCTTGTCAACGTAATCGAAAAGTAAACGAGAATGATAAAGACGAAAATTTTGTTCTCTCGGGGAGTTCCACTCCCTGGCCCGAGGATCGGCCCGGGTAAAGAATGATACTTGCTCGATCTCTCCACCATTCAGAGGAACTTTACAGCCATTAACTACAAGGTTCTTCATAAAATGTGTTTTCGAGGTACATATTAATTTTTGGTCGGACCTTTTTGGATGCTACCAAAAGATTTATTATATTCAAGCATGTTTGGTGAATAATTTGGGATAGGCGATGTCTCCTTGTCTGACACCGCGCTCTATTCTAAGAACCCCGCACACCTCTTTTGGGTTTTTCGTTTTCTGCCAAATTCAATGCAATTTTGATGTAGTATACGGTAAACCTTGACTTCCCCATAAAAGTTTCCATCAGCCCAACCAAATCCTATAGGACTAGTTTTTGTGAAACAGGAAGTTCAATGTCCAAGAAATGTACCAATCCATATACATTTACCTGTCACCTAAAAATGTACCCAGGATGGACAGGTAGATCTTCAAGCTCACGTGAGAGTAGATGTAAATACATATGAATATGTACATTTTTTAGACAACAAACTATCAGTATCTCGAAAACTAGTCATAGGATTGGGTTGGAACGATGAAAACTTTTTATCAGGAAGTCAAGGTCGACAAGGTCTAACACATATTCAAATTTCGGTGTCATTTGCTAGTATTTTCGAGAAGTTTAACGTATGACAGTGCAGTTTCATAGATGGTTGAAATTACGAGAATATATCGGTGTGGTGCTAGGTTCCTAAAGTTGAAAGGTTATCTGGTAATGCGTAACTTGATGACGTCATCTGAGATGCCTTATAGGGATATGCATTATGTTGAGGCACCCCAGATGACGTCATAAAAGTTATCAGACAACTCGATCTCAAACAACCTTGGGTGCGGTGGTTTATTTGACAATCAGCAAGAGCTAAGAGCATTTGCTGCTGGTCACTCGTGTCGAATGCTTTTTCATAATTCACAAATATAAAAATAAGCGGCTTATTGTATTCAACACATTTCTCAAACAAGGTTTTCATGAATGGAGTCACTTATCTCGTTGGAAACTGGCTTGCTCCATTGGTTGGTAATTGTCGAGTTGATTTGCAACTTTTGCGAGTCTTTTTGTAAAGTTCCATGTCTGCAATATACCCTTTTTTGCATGATGACTATTACAAAATTATGCCATTGAGAAGGTGTAGCCCCTTTGAGAAGACATATTATGGTGTTAAAAAGTGTATGGAAAGCACATAATAAGTTTCACCCACCGCCCTCCCTAGTCGATTCAATAGCTATACCGTTATATTGTTTTTCATTTCTGAGACGGAAGCAGTTATGTCATCCAGATATACATCTGAAATATCCTCAGATCCGATATTTTAAATTTTTGGCATCCGCCATGCATTTGACTTATCCGTGTCTCCCGTGTAAAGTTTTCTATGAAACTCTTCTGTAATTTTCAACACATCAACTTTACTTGTTTTAATGTTACCGTTTTTATCGGCGAGTTTGAAAATACTCCTCCAGATTCACTTCAGATAAACGTTCGTTATCGTATGTTCAAAGATCACGTCAGGCAGACTTGGAAATATCTTTGTTCAGTTGCCTTAGGATACCTTTCGATATTTGTTTGTCTCTTCTTTTAGTTCATGATATTTGTCATACTTTGGCTCAATTTTTCTTCCCTGGTTTAAACTGCTATGCAGTAATTCGCCTCTGGGCTTCCTTAAAAGTATTGTTGATTGAGGCACTTAATTTTTCGACATTGTTCTCATCTTCGTTCAGATGAGTCAGGTATCAGTTTCTTAGTAGGTAACAGGTTATTTTCTATCGATGCATTTCAGGTAGGTATTCGATATCATCTTTACTCTAACTTTCATGATGTCGATCCTATTTCTGGCCCTGCCCTAACTAACCGATGTTCGCTCTACCTGCTGAGAAGTTTTTTTTACTACATTGACATCTGTGATGATATTCTTTTTGATAATATGGAGTTATTACCTGTAAGGAAATTTAAAAATACATCTCATTGAAAACCGTACCGAACCTCTACTCTCTACTTTTACCGGAAACTTATTTCTGTAGCGAAACAATTCCGCTCGATTAATGAAATCTGGAAATAAAAAGAAGGAAAGTTGGAGTTTTATTTATATTATTATATGTTATAGATGATATTCGTCACAATAAGCAGTATGAATTAGCTGATGATCTCGTCTTGAACCTTGTTTTCGTAAAGAAATGTGTCCATCCGCTTCTCTCAAATTTTTCTGCCCGATACTTGTTCTATTTTCCCCCCTACAGATTAGGAAGATTTGACTTGCTGAGGTCTTGGCAGACCGATAGTTCTCCACTTCCACTGCTGTGCTATTTCTCCAGCAGGCATTGAGATTGTTGCTTAGTTTTCTAATTCTCGACCAATTATGCTTTTCTTAACGTTGTCTAAGGCGATTACGAAAATAGTAAAGTCATAAGACTCACACCATTCTTGGACCTCGTTTCTTCATTTACTCCCTTTCTCCAGTCTTTTTCTTTCGTCTAGCTTCCACCCGCCAATGATTTGCTAGTGAATTCTCGTACCTATCATTCTTTGTATCTCATCGTTATAGTGTAATTAGTATAGCATAATTTCTCCTGTTTTATTATCATTTCCATTGATTGAAACAATATGGAACGTTGACGAAAGTGAACTTGGTTTTTACTTGTCCTAAATATTGATTACCGGTGAACTAACGTAAAGATATGGATATATATTTTCTCAATAGATATTTCGTTTATACATGGAGAAAAAATTCTTAAGATTTATTTCCGCAGCAGTCTTTAAACCAAACCACACAATGGAAGAGGGTTAAGTTAGAGAATAAATGCATGATATTTATGAAATTTTCAGAAGTCACTATACAAATTGATGAGAATGTTGGGGCACGTTAGGACAACTTTGGTATAATAGCCTGACTACGATGTTAGTTTATTAATCCTGAAAAATTTAGCGATTTCCTATAAGTCCCATGCATTTAAGAAAGATTGAAAATTATTTATGATTGGAAAATAATTGTAATTGGACACCTAAAACCATCAGAAAAGCCAAGATCTCAAGTTTAAACAGTTTAAAAATAACGTCAATATGTTTCAATATTTTAAAGTCTGTTGGCAACTATTTTCCATTAAAATTACAAGTACCAAACAAATTTAATTTTGGATACACACAATTTACCAGATAGATGAAAAATATATTTTCGTTAGAACCCATTAAACTATCTAAACTTGAGTTCTATCGCCTCAACATCAGTAATCTTATTGTCAATAAATTCATATTATAATAAATTGGCAAATGTAAATATGATATAAATATAATAATATTTAAAACTGATAAGTTTATCAGATGCAAAGTTAATTATAATTAAATATTTTAATACACAGTTAGAATATGTTTTTTTTTGTGTGTGTGTTTCTTGTTTGTTACCATCTCTTGTCTACTCTGGTTTGAGTCGATGCCATTGCACTATGGTCTGTCTGGGTTTCGTTATCATGTCTTGCCAGTGTTTCGTTTCTGAAGCACCCGAACCATTTTTACCTAAAAAGAAATGGAAATATAGAAATTAATCTCAAATCAATACATCTTTTAATTATTTAAAATTATCCATTTGTAAGCATTTCAATTTGCTTAGAATGGCCAAGGTATTAGGTATTGAATTCCATATAAGTTTATGATTATTTTTCAAACTCTTGAGCTTTTCCTCCAAATATTCCCATTCCCATGTAGGTATCTACCAAGTATCTACCTACCTACCTAGATATTAGCGATAAAATTATACGTTATAAGATCCTTTTTGTAACACTTTAATTCTACATTCTACCAGCCAGTTATCACACATTTTCTCTCCAAAACTGTTAAGCAATAAACACGCGATAGTGCAACAAACCGTGGGCTAGAGAGAAATTTAATCAAAAACTTGTTAGCAATGCGTGACTGGATTTGGTATTTGGCTTGGAAATTAAAAACTTTAATCCATAGCAAATAAGTGAAAAACAACAATTTTAAAGGGTAATAAATCACAGTATTTTTTGATAAGAGGTGCTGTGTATATATTTATACCTGATGATTTATTTCTGGACTTATGTAAAATTCTTTGACGTGTGAAAAACTCAAAGGAACGATTAAACGAGCCGCATAAATTAAAATTACGTCTTACCAGCCAACAATATCCTTCCTATCAATTCATTTCTTCCTATATTATCGAAATCCATCACCATGACGTCTAGCGAACATTCTCGTATCTTCTCCCACGGGACGTTAAACGAAAACGTGTCATTAAAAACAGGATTAAGTGTGCATTTGTAGATGGCTGTTTTACGTTTTTCCACGCGCTTGTCGCCAAATTGAAGCCAGACTTTCACGTAGGGATCTAGAATAAACAAGAAAAAAATCTGCATTAGGAAAAGGCTAATACTTTGAATCAATATTGTTGTTGTTTGTGTCCGTAAATTTTCAAATAAACTAAAATACACCTGCTATATTTTGAACAGATTACAACCCAGTGTAAAGTAATTTGATTTATTCAATGCTGTTCTAATTAGGGCTGGCACTGAGCTGTGTATTTATTTATAGAGTTCAGAGGAGGATATTCAAGTAGGGGACAAAACATATCGCTCAGTTTTAGAGCAAATCTGACAATTAGGAACACACATGGTTATGGTTTAGGCTATTCGGCCTGGTTTTGTTCAACGCATGTAGCATCGCAAATGCTTCTTGTTCTTTTTTCTTTCAAATATAATTTTATAAGTTAGATCATTACCTTTATTTCTGACAGTCTGGTAACAAGCATTATTAAACTAGAGGAAACAATTTTCGCTTGAGTTTGAAGTACCAGTTTAGTACCAACACTTTCCATTGGCTATTTTTTAAATGAAAGCTCTGCTGGTTCAGCTTGTCCTTTTGATTCTTCGTCCCTTTTAAATTTTGCCGTTCGCCCTGATAGGTCGACTCTGGCCTGGGGGGCAGCCATATTCCTCAACTGTGATTAACGTTCTCGTGAAGAAAAGTACCTTATCGGCCGTGAGGCATTATTTTAACGAAATAAAGTTGCGTAAGGCAATAATCCGTTGTTTACCGAAAAAATTTAAATCAAAAGTCTTGTGATTACCGTTTTATTCAAGTTTGAATTTCTAACCCCTCGTGGTAAGTCTTGTTTTTTTTTTTTAAGTAATGGTTGTTCATGGAATGCCTCTATTACTTAGGGTTTTCCGAGGAGCTGTTTTTTTCCGAGGAGCTGTTTTTCCGAGGAGCCGTTTCTCTCAACGAATCCATTTCCAAAAGCCCACATTTTTGAGAGCACGCCATTTTCGTGGAGCGTGGCATAGAGCTTTCCTAGAGGAATCAAGTCCCTCACGTATTGACTTCTGTACCTCCACATTTGACAACAACCGAGAACTTTCAGCCTCTATCTACCTTGATTCAAGGCTAGAATCTGCAACTATTATAAAATGGATAGCTGGATTGCTATCGTTATCTATCCTTTGTTGGAATGGAGGCTTGTATAGAGTTTTATTAATGTATTATGTATTTTATGATCAATTAACATAATTGATAAAATTTTTACTGACATTTCATTTAAATATTCAAAATTTTATTTTCGCATTCTTGACACCGAGGAGATGGTGGAATAATTAAGTTGCTGGATTTTCGATTTATCGAATTTATTATAGATTTATCAATACTTCACTTTTGATACCGCCATGAGCGCCATGTTTAAAGAAAATTATATTTTATTAATCATAATCATTAATCTGAACTGAGGTTAAGGTTGGACAATATGTTCTAACTTTAAAATTATTGAGTAAGTAGCTATAACGTCAAAGAAAGTTGATCAATTTTTCACACGGGTTCTATAACTTATATACTAGAGGATTTCGGTTAAATCGCCTTTATTCTTTCCACGTTTTTGATTTCATACAGTGTTGATTTGATTTTAATGATTTTATTTTCTGGCAGTACCTGACCATATTTATCCATAAAATATTATAATTTTCATTCATTAATTTTTTTAAATTAATTTTCTGGAAACTTAAATCCTTCATATTTTTATTTCAAATTAATGATATGGTTAGCGACTGTTAATGAACTTATATGGCAAGTATATTGAGGTACACTGTAATATATATATTTTTTTTTTGGAATTTGATGAATCTGTTTGAGAGTTAACCTCCATTTATTGATTTTATTCAAAGTTCACCAACAAATACTTTATTTTCAGCATCACTGTGAAAATATAATAATTTACTATTTTGATTTGAAATTGCTTGAGTGTTTTATTGGTTTTACCTATGTCAAGATTTGGTCGAGTTATATGCCTTATTTATTTCCTTTTCAGAATTATCTATTACTGTTTGCTGATTTTTTTAGGTGTGTTTCTGAATTTTCACACTTCAATATTTTATGTAGTTTATTTATTTATTGTTTTACATATTCAGTGGTGCACTTGCCATTCTGTACTTATAAAACTATTGACCTACCCCTAATAATTATTCGCTGAGCAAACTGAGTATATTATGGGCCTCTTGTTAATTCATTAACAAAAGGGGTTACATTGACAGTGTTTACTGCTAGCGCTGAAAATGAATTTAACTACCTTTACTACGATTTTAGTTTTCATTTGACCAAATTGAAAGATATTTATAATTCTAAATTTAAAAACAGTAATTTACCGGGAAAACAACTGTTCGCTCTGTATCGTGAATAAGGTATATGCGCGCAGTACCCAGAGACACAATCCTCAAGAGGTCGTGATGTAGCGCCGTGGGCCTTCCACAGTCCGGGGCATTATCCACTAAACTAGTTAGCGGCTGTGCCCTCCAGAGACCAACACCTATGAAAGAATTATGGGCTGGCATAAGGCTTTTCCCCTGGGTACTCGTGTTAGCCAGGTTCCCCCAGCAAGGTTTGACGAGTCGCCGTTCTGTACTCACTTTGTGAGTAGCTACCACGGCTCAAGTAATACATGCTTGTGCCTTTCAACCACGAACCCTGGAATCAGCAGAGCGGCGTTCCTTTCTACCGGTGCATGAATATGGTCGATCTAGTGTTAAATGGGATACTAAGTGATTCTGCTTTCCCTTGATAACGTACGGGATCGGGGTTTCCCCCTACGAGTTTTCGTCCATACCCAGATATGCTGGGATAGGGTAAACATTAGGGATCCTTCGCCCGCGCCAACTAGTGAAACTACAGGTACTACTCAGGTTATACCTTTAATCCCCCTGGCCGTGCCCGGGTCCTTATTTGACAGTTCGAGGCAAATCCCATCAACCGGGCAGCTGGGCTTGTCGAACTTTCAGCTAGATTAACTGGAATCATTCGTAGACTCTCCGTCTTCTCACGGAGGACGAGACGATACCGCTACCATCTTTCTAGAGAAAGGCTCAGGAACTTTGCTCAAGATCGATCCTTCACTTCCTTCGAGATGGTGAGATGGTAGACACGACAGTTCGGTGGATGTTTACAAAATTGCACCAGCGAACCAGCTTGTATCGTAATGTGGGTAGGGATAGTGGAAATCTCGTTAATCCAGAAGGAGACACACTTGGAAATGATTTCGCCGCTTACCACGCATTAGCTTTTTTAACCTAATAGTTAAAAATTATTTTGAACTCCATTTGTTCAACCGCCAAAAACAATGCCATAGGATTACAATAATGTGATGTTGTGCACGCGAAAAAGTTCTATTAAAGGCGGTCCTATTAGAAGGCTTAAGATTTATTTTGAATGAAAGCCTAGGTTTGTTTTAGGAAAAACTAATTTAAACCAGAATTTCCTAAGTTTTCCGCGTCTAGTTAAATAGGGAACTTGCAAGTGAACTGAAATTTCCCAAATTTGTTTTAAATCGATAGTTTATACTGCACAATATTTATATGATCAGTTTTAATTTAACTGATACCGCCCTTATTACACAAAAAATAACGCAAAATTTGAAATAAGAAATTCCCGCCAAAACAATGCTTCCATGATGGCTACCTTTTTGACGTCACGATTCTGTAAACAAACCTGTCAATAGGGAAGTTGCAAGCAATGAACTATAATCAAAAACTGGAATGCGCACACATTGCCATATCTGCTAGAGAAATGAAGCCATCAAAGACGGATGCCACAAGGGGGAATGTTGTTCTTTTCTGTTGCACGCTGACATATGACGTTTTGGAAAGTTTTGTTATGTTTATCTACCCACACAGCATAGAATACTACACAGGTTTTATCAATTGGAATACGTGTTGGAAGCAATTTCCGCCATTTAACGTAATGAGTGCTACAAAAACAGGCATCCCCTCCCAGGGCCATAGCTAGAGTCAATTTTGGGATGGGGCATGACTGAACGCAGTCCTTTATTTTACAATATTCTTCATCCATTGCCACAATTTTCACAAAAAGCAAACTTTAACAGACTTGAATAACACAAAAATATCACTGCAACAGCAGGAGTTCGTTTGTTGTTTACAAAATCTTGACGTCATGAGCGCTGTCATATTGAAATTTCGCGTTTCCGCGCCAAAGTTTTTGATTTGAATTTCAATAATTTTTTTTCCGTATAACGTATAAATTAAAATGGAAAAAAAGAAAACTATGTAATATCTGATCACTAGAAGTATCTAAAAATAAATAAATTGAGAAATATGAAAATTCCCTATTCTCTGGGCATTGAAATTCGCAGTAACTATAAAGTAATTATATTTTCTGGATTCTTGGCGTGTATAATGTCCTTCATGTAGTTGCTCTATTGTTCCGTCATAGCAGTAATGCAGAATATAATTTGTGAGTTGGTACTTACAACCTTCTATCAGAAAAAAAAGTCGTGTGCAGCACAGTACACGTGATAGAAGTGAATACTTATTTATCGATCTCTTTCTCCCTCTCTCCCTCATATTCATCATATGCTTCATCTCACTTGCGAGATGAAAATTTTATAAATCGTGTTGTGACGCGACCTTGAAAAATCACTCTCATGCGGCCAAAAAAGTATTCACTTCAAAAATATGGCCCATAATCATGCCTATCCATGTTCAGCGGTGCAATACAACTCGCCATTCGTACGGAATGAAATTAATAATCGACACTGGGGTATTGTCAACTGGTCTATAAATAAGAACCACTCGGTATATGAAAAATCCATCAATTAGAACAAGAACACGGTTTATTTATCAGTAGTTTAATCAGGTCAACGCGTAAACTAATGTTGGCTCGAGAGGGATATTAAAACCGATGCAGCCCATGGGATCGGCATCCATTCGGGTCCCCTTAGCACCTCGTATATGTGCATAGAGCCCCAAACGTAAGAACCATATGGAACGTAGTGCCCCGTTGGTAATGTTTCCACTAGCAGACAAATATACGTAGGTTTTTCTGATAGAGAATAGA